GTATATATATAGTTGTGTATATATAGTTGTGTATATATAGTTGTGTATATATAGTTGTATATATATAGTTGTATATATATAGTTGTATATATATAGTTGTGTATATATAGTTGTATATATATAGTTGTATATATATATAGTTGTATATATATAGTTGTGTATATATAGTTGTATATATATAGAAGACCCCTGTAAATGTTTAGCTTCATAAAAGAAGCTTTTTCAAGAAAGTTTCTATTTCAGAATAATTTGGATGGAATATCTGTGCCAGGAATTCTGGAATGGGCCGGGCCTGTACCAGGTTAAAACATTCATTCCCTTGTTCATCCATTCATCCTTTCACCTGTCCATCCTATCCTTTCATTAATTCCCTCATTCATCCTTTCACCTGTCCATCCTATCCTTTCATTCATTCCCTCATTCATCCTTTCACCTGTCCATCCTATCCTTTCATTCATTCCCTCCTTCATCCTTTCATACTTTCAACTGTTTATCTTTTCTTTAATTCTTTCATTCATCCTGTCATCCTTTCACCTGTCCATCCTATCCTTTCATTCATTCCCTCATTCATCCTTTCACCTGTCCATCCTATCCTTTCATTCATTCCCTCATTCATCCTTTCATACTTTCAACTGTTCATCCTTTCTTTAATTCTTTCATTCATCCTGTCATCCTTTCACCTGTCAATCCTTTCTTTCATTCTTTCATCCTTGTACCTTTCCAGTTCTTCCTTTTATTAATTTTCTCATTCAATTTTCTTCCTTTCACCTGTCCAGTCTATCCTTTCATCTATTCTTTCATCCTAAGTTCATTAATCAGGCTGACAACAAGGGTAGTCAAATCAAGCCTCCCTATGTATATCTTATTTCTTGCATAATTGACCTTATAGATAAACATATAACAATAACATAAAATCTGTCCTACCCTAACCAGAAAAAAATGGACTGTGCATCGGTGTAAAATAAAATTAAAATTCAGGTAGTCAAATTCTTAAAATTGTACTACAAACAATTTGCATGATTATCCTCTTCATTTTTAAGAAAAAAATGGAACAAGTTTATATTCAAAAGGTTTTTAGAAAAAGTAACTTGAAGGGTAAAGCAAAGGAAAAATATATAACATTCTGAATTTTTTAGTAAAAAAAAATTAAAGTGAGTAAGCAAGTATACAAAGCATTATAGGGCCTGCTAAGAATAGGAAGTGAAAACAAAATATGATAAATAGAAACACCGCAGTTTTTTGTGGTTTGATTTTTTTATCAGACCCCAAGATATAAAATGTTTCTTAATTAGGATTTAGTTTCCATGCTTGGGTTAGACTTGATGATAGAGCAGATGAGCTTAATACCAGGAGACAATTATACAGCCTTTACACCAATTCCGGGTCTGGACTAGGTACATACAAAAGATAAAATATTTACTATTTACACAACTTATACGGAATTGATCTCAAGAATTTTTTCTTATTGTAGAGGCTTTCTTTTTACCCGGAGGTATTTTGGCAGTGGGTTCTGCTTACAAGAAGGAGTTTTTTGTTACAAAATGTGAAGATCTTCCTTTAAATGATGGCCAGTGGCATTCCTTAACAGTTTGTCAGGTTAGTTATAGAAAAGTTAAAAAATAACGTGCAAGAAGAATTTATATTTGTTTAGGCATCTGGAAAGAGGCCTTTTGGACATAGCCAACTGAGTATCTATATTGATGGAACCTTGCGGACCCAAAGTTCTCTCAAGTATCCCACCTTCATTGATCCTATTGCTTATTGTCAGATTGGTTCAGGAATGGGCAACTAAATTATCTTTTAAGCATTGGTCAAATATTAATACTTTATTATTATTGTGTAAAATTATTAAAAATAATTGAATATCAATTATATTTCCTGTCTTTCAAGTTTTTAATGAATTTGCCCTATAATAGAGTTGATGAGAGCAAATCTACCTGCACTTAATGTTGCAAACATTTCAAAAACTAGTATTAAGGATAACATTAAGGTAGAAATAAAGTTTAAGGAAACATAATCTTGCAGAAATAATGTAATGCTATGATTTTATTTCTTTGTTAGGATGCTCTGAAGAGCACAGGAGTTTTTGCTCTGCCTGCCTATTTGAAACCATCAAGTACAGATCCCAAGGTTCAATGGACTATGCTTGGCATGGAAGATGTAATGTGGGGACGGTCTATTGCAATCACTGGACAAATAGGGCTTATTTATGTTTTTCAGGTTAAAACTTAACAAAATATTTACTGTAAGAAAAAATAGTGCACTATAAATTCAAATAATATCTAAAATGAATTTTCAACTAGGCATTACTTATAATAAGTTTGGTGGTTTGAATATAGTTATGAATTGTACATTTGCTGTCTAACCTCACCCTACCCATTTAGCTTATGTTGAGAAGGATATTGCTTTCCATGTAAATAAAAACCTCATCCCCCAATCCAAAAAGCTTCTTGTGTCTAAATACTATATTTGTGTTTAGGATTGTCTACAACCAAGTCAAGCCAAGATTCTTCATGCTCTTGGGGCCAACAGTTGTTTACAGCATCATCCTGATCAAGAATCAACTGATGTTATAGACATGTTATCAAAATTAGTTTTCAACTATTCTCCTAAAGTGTGCCACAATATGGTTTGCACTAATCTATCGACTAATCAACTAGCTTGCTTTGATGGACACACTTTGGCAAAACCTTTTTCAACAAAAGATCCCAAGGATGTTATCAACAGTCTAGGGGGAATTCAAGTTCTTTTCCCTATCCTTGAAACATCCTTATACAGCACAAAGTTGGATTCATCATACACTTCAATCACTCAAGAGATTTCAAAATCTGGCTCAGCAGAATCGGAACAGGATTGGGAAATGATTGCATCCAGTTCATTTTCTGATTGGAACCTAGAGAAAAATCCTGTTTCTGGATTTTTAACTCTGATCAAAAACATGACCACAAATCACCAGGTTAATCAAGAACAGCTTATAAGAGGAGGCGGTGTTGCTATTATGGGGTCACTCCTGCAGAAAGTAGACACCAGTTTGATAGATGTCAATGTTCTCATGGCCTCCCAGTTGTTTGTGGAAATTTTGACAACCACTAAGCAGAGTAAGCTTCTGTATCAGTTCTATCACAGCATTCTCTTTGATTTTAGAATTTGGTCAAGGTCTGAGTTTCATATGCAAATTGGTCATGTGCAATATATCTCAACCCTCATAATGTCAGACAGGAAATATTTTAGAAAAAAGTTTGGTGTTCAGTTCTTTTTTGATGTAGTCAGACAGCATTATTCCAATGAGGACAATAAGAAGCTTTCAAGTGAGGACTGTGTTACCATCAGAGGAGCCCTTTTTGGACTGGTCAAATTCTTTCTTCTAAAAGATGTGAATGCAAGAGAGGTTTCAGCATTGCTAAACTTTATGTATTCTAACAGAAAGAGTCCAATTCTCGGTGAAGTATTGGACATGCTAATTTTGCACTTAGAGTCAAAGTTAGTCAAAGATCAACTGTTTTTGTTATTGTTCGAACCTTATTGCCTAGATCTTATATACTGTATTTTGCTTGAAAATACAGATGAGCTTATTCGCATGAAAATATACAGAATCATCACAGATTTTCTCAGAACCTCAAAAATATCCAACAGATACAAGGGGCGTCTTCATTTACAACCTGTTGGATATCATGGGTTTCTCTACATAAGAAGCCCTAAAGAGCCTCCAATTTCACTTCAAGAAGTTTCATTTCTAACAGACCACATGTTGATGTTTGACCATGTTTCAAGCTACCAAGGAATTTTGTCTCTGTGTCAGCATCTACAGATGGCTCATGTTGATATAAAGCTAGAAATTGCAAGGAAGTTGCTGACTCTAGTCTACTCACATCCTCAAGCAGCTTCTCATCTTATTAAACAGGTGGGGTGGGAAGGTTGTATAGCAAGACTCCTTGTCAAGGAAATTGTGCAACCTGAACTTGATACCATGGTTTCTGTTGAGGATGTCATAAGCCTTGGTGATGAAGAAGATAATATTCCTGAAGAACAATCATCTCCTACTCGGTACATAAACATCGTAACAGATACTGCAAAGCAGTACCTGCCAACACAAGCAGGAAATGCGGTAAAACTTGTTGGGGATTCTGTTGGGTCAGTGGCAGATGAGGCTGGTAAAGTCTTAGCAGGAACTAGCAAGCTTGTAAGGTCAAATATATTAAATGCTTCCGACAAGGTTTCCTCCACTGTACAAAGGACTCATAATTTAGTAACAGACAAAGTTCACAGTGCTCATCAGAAGGTTAATAACACTGTTTATAAGGCAAACACAATTTTGGAAACTGTCGGAGACCTCACATCATCTAAGAAAAGACACAGCAATGCTTCCATGGATGGAAACCCACAATTTTTGCAGAACTATTCATATGGTTTTGGAGATGCAGATGTTATGTCCAATAGTTCTGAAGATATTTCAAGAAGCAGAGAGACCATCTGTAGCTCACCCACCAGAACACATGAGAGTATTTCCGAAGATGAGATAAGTTTTGATATGGACCACTTTGGTTCTGAGTTGGAGTCCCTCAAACTTGGGAAAACAGGTGGAGAAGAAACACGGGAGGAAGAATTGGTTGAGCTCGTAACAAATATTTTCTTTTCTATTCTTTGGCGGGGAACTCTGACAAGACATAGAAAAGACCAGGCCAGCTATCTGTTACAATCATATGGGCAAATTATTGCCTCTGTAAATTTAATGGCCTTGAATAACAAACTCTTTATCAGTCATATGGTAATGAAAAGAAAAATAATTGAACTCTGCTTGCAAGCTCTGCTGTCTGACATTAGAGAGAAGAATCAAACTCTAAGTGAGCATGCCATAATGGCAAAAAATATTATGGAGATAGCTTTTGATCTTGTCATCCTGGATGAACATGATGACTTTTCCAAAAAGGTTAGTGAAGATCTGTTAGATGGAATTTTGGGAATTCTGGATAGGTTCTCTGTATTTCATGAAGGAAATACTGACAAAGAATGGGATGATTTGGGAAGAATGGCATTCAGTATTCTTCTTGAATGTGCAGAAAACACCAAGGATCTTGATTTCTGTGCTATTGCAACTGCTAAGCTTCACTCCCTGGTTCAAAGCAGACAAGACCCAAGTCCAGATGAGGTTGGGTATTTAATTTATCGAGTAAACAAGATAATTGAAAATGCCTTAATGAAAGAGAACACTGATCACTATGCATTCTTTGTTCCAATCATGAAAGCACTTCTGGATAAAAGCAAATTTTGTCTTCAACTCACCAAGCAGTTACCATCTTTGAGTTTTAGGTATGATCATATTTACTTACTCAAACTTGATTGGTTATATTACATTACAGTTTTTCAGGTTAACTGGTTGTGAGTTCTTTGAGCAGTTTCAGACATACTCTAAAGAAGAAGAATGGAAGTACTTTGTAACCAGGTTAGCTTTTTTTGACATTGTTACTCTACAAAATGTCTTATTTTTCTTTACCTTCTATACAATACTACCCCATAATTACCTAATACTGAAGCTGAAATTCAATTGAACTACTGCTTGTGTTCATTCACAGTATTGAAAAAATGTTTAATTCTTGAATACCTCCAAAACATTTAGATTTGTTGTATTTCAGAAAGATCAATGTCTTGCATGATGAATACTGTCTGGGTGTGCTGACCAATCTTAGAGATCACTTTAATGAGTTCTGGGGAAACTCCTACGAGGAAGCTAAAGTTGCTGTTCACAGGTTAGAAAATATTATTGAAGTGAGGCACTTTTCCAGACTTAAGGGCATGTAGTTTTTGAGTGACAGTCTGAAGGACATATACCCAAATACACATTGCACAATTTTTCTAACACTCATATTCATGAGCTTGATTCAGATTCAATTTTTTACAGGACAAATCCAGATTAGCATCAATATGAAATGGGTCCTACTGAATTGAGTTGATTTTCACTGTTAACTATTTACTTGGGTAACTTCCCTGGTTTAAATTTGAATATTGTTTTGTTACTAATGGTTTCTTGACCATGACTTTGTCTAAATCAAATCATTTCACATCGAATAACAACATTTAATCAAACATTTTAATTGCCAAATCATCTGGTCTTGATTTTAAAACTAATTGCTCTAAATTTCACCAGCACAGAAAATCTATTAGGTAGGTGCCCAACATTTGCATTTAAATAAAAAAAAATAATTGTTTAGCAGCTAGCAAATGAAGTGTATTTTAAATGGTGGCATGGCTCAAATTTGGTCAAGCTGCTGATATCTTTTTAAAGAGAATCACAACTTAACCCAAGCTTCACTCTGTACTGCAAATACACATGAAAAGTGTGTATATTCGACTGCAAATTCTAAAGCAAATATAGATGGGACTGAAAATCCAGAAATTGATAAAGAAGCAAAGCTCTAATCCAAAAGAAGGATGCCTCAAGCAATTCTTATGTAATATTTGATTTGATTTGATGTGATGTGATGTGATGTGATGTGATGTGATATGATGTGATGTGATGTGATGTGATGTGATGTGATGTGATGTGATGAAAAAAATAATTGAACTTTACAGTTAAAAAAGTTGTCAAGTTGTAAAAATTCTGTTGGGTAAAAATCAATGCTATAGTTAAAAAAGGATGTTGCAATTTTAGGTGATGTGTTGTAATCAAACTAAAATTTTGGTGAAAAAGATAAAGTTAAATTTTATTCGGTTGAAATAAAAGCTGTTTTAACCAGACAAAGGCTAAAGGATGAAAAGGCTAGATTTCAGAATCTTTTAACTCAACACAGAAGTAACTGTATCTTTGTCGAGAAGCGGTGGAGAATATTAAAGAGGTAAATAATCAGTAAACGATTGTTTTGACCTTAACATTCGATTGATGGTCAAAAGAACTTCACAACCAATGTCCATGTCCGGCATATATGCTTATGGTCACAATGACAATATAACAACCTTGAAATAATTTTGTTCAAGATTCACTACCTATATCACAAATTGATTATTCGATAAATAAAACAGAGCTGAAAACTTTAGAATGTGATATCCTTAATCTCGATCGGTTAATTAATCTGGAGATTAATAGTAAGAGGAGAACAAGCATTATTTAATCTCCAGATTAAGAAAAAGAGTGGATTAAGCATTATTACCGATTTCAACCATTCAAAAGTTCCCAGCTCAGTTTTAGAAAGAAAACCATTATTGTTGTTCAGATTAAGATATAATTTCATCCTTATAGGTCGAAACTTTTGACACAATGATAAGTGATGTTTAATTCAAAGAGTTACAATGCCTGTTTCACAATGATAACCTTACTAGGAGTAAAAAAAGGAATTTTATAAAGAGCAAACTATGTTGTTTTACTCATTGCCTCTGCATAAATAGAGAAACCACAATTAAAATCATCATATTTCAGAGAAAAAAAAAAATTAAATCCATCATTTTTGCTCAATTAATGGTGTAAGGGGTACACCTGTAATTCAGTCATGAAAGTCTTTAAATGTAGGGTCGCCTACAGTCCCATTAACTTCTTACCTATCTAGACTATTCTTCGGGCCCCGAGGAGCTTGGGGTAAGAAAGGACATCTTCTAGCTGATCATTGGATGCTCGGACACAATGAGAACCTGCACAGGTATAATTAAGGGGAAGTGAGTGGAGGGGGGGGGGGTGGTAGAATAAAACTGAAATATGGAGAGGAAACTGTATAATTATGACAAAAAAAAACATATTGAAAATAAATTGATTTTGTAGGTACTGTGTAACATTATGGTTGACCTCATGTAACTGAAAAACTGTCTTCATAAATAAATCCCCGGGTTTGAACTTATGTTTGCATAGAATGAGAATGAAACTGGTTCCCAACCCCTCCTTCAATCTCCACCTGGAGGCTAGTGCACAGAGGGATAATATCCGGAGACAGAATACAGATACTGACAACTTTATCCAGCTACAGATATCAAAGTAGGTTCAATTAAAGAAAAAATACTAATACTGACAACTTTATACATCTCCAGATATCAAAGTAGGTTCAATTTAACAATAAATACTAATACTGACAACTTTATATAGTTCCAGATATCAAAGTAGGTTCAATTTAAAATACTAATACTGACAACTTTATACATCTCCAGATATCAAAGTAGGTTCAATTTAACAATAAATACAGATACTGACAACTTTATATAGTTCCAGATATCAAAGTAGGTTCAATTTAACAATAATACTGATACTGACAACTTTATCCAGCTCTAAATATCAAAGTAGGTTCAATCAAACCATTAATAAAGATACTAACAACTTTTATCAGCTACAAATATGAAAAATTATGCCGATACAAATTTCAAATTAGGTTCAATTAAATAATAAATACAGATACTGACAACTTCAGACATCAAAGTATGTTCAACTAAACAGTGATACAGATACCCAGATATTTACGAGTTCATGTCTCTTATTTTCTCAATTTTGACTCTCCTTTCCTGTCTTTAAAGCGTATATTTTCACGATTTGTAGCCGCAGATCTTCATACTCCCCCCCCCCACACAGACAACAAATAAATGATGTTTTGTCCTTGGCTTTTTGGTTTTGATCTCCCCCTCTCTGTAGTTCACAGATTTGAGTTTGACGCATCTGAAAAGGCAGTTCCTAGTCAATATATATTGTTTAGGGAGGCTGTAGTTTCTACACCTAATGAAGACGAGTCTGATTTGACAGAAGATGATCTGAAAGCTATTGCCAAGGAGCAGATGAATTCTCAGGTTCTTTAATCAAATTGTTTTGGATATTTAAAAATATAAAATATAAAAATGGCAGACAGAAAATAAATAGATTTTCTTGTTACATTTATTGCATATTATAGGTTGATTTTTATAGTTATCTTTTTCAGTTTTTTTAGCAAAATCTCAAATCTGAAATGTACACTGTACAGGGTGTCTCAAAAGACATGAGAATTGAAAGACAACTTGAAAATCGTGTTTTATTTCCGATAACTGATAAATGACAAAGTGCACCCAAAAAAGATCTTGAGCTATCCAAAATCAATCTTAAAGGTTAAAGAAAAGGGTAGACCATATTTTGAAAACCCGAGTCTAATAGTTTTCGGTGTTAAATGTTTTAACTGTGATGTTAAAAAATCATATTTACGAACTAATCCTGCTTGGAACAAAGACGATATATTAAGTCGTCATTTAATTCTCATGTTTATTGGGACATCCTGTATAAATTAATTAAATATATTTGAAGGAGCAAGATGCTGAACATGAGCAGGAGAAGTTCTTGACGAGCGAGGAGTGTGAGCTGGTCACCTTGATGTCTGTTGTAAGGGGGAGGTTCGAGCTGACCAACACATTTATATATTTCTTCGATTCAAGGCAGGCAGATCAAAACCATAACTTTAAAACATTCAACATTTTTTATACTTTTTGAGTAAGAAAAGATATCGGCGAAAAAGAGAATAATGTGAACCATAAATTTAGATTTTTTTATATGTTCTATTATTGAGTATTTCAGAAAAACTATCCCTGGCCAATTTTTAAAAATCTGCTTATTGGGATTGAAATTGTTTTTTATTTTTTTATTTTTAAGTTGGATCCGACGCTCAGAAAAGACAGGGTTACCCACAAAAAATGAGACTTCGGAGACGACTGTATCTTTTTTCAGTCTTCTTTTTTACATATTTCTGTACCGCCACAATAGTTATTTACCTTTTCATTTACCTTTAGATCACTTTTTCAGTAGTTCCGGATAGTAATTAAAGTCTCATTCTTCATGGGTAACCCTGTATGCAGTGCTTAGGATCCATGTAATTTTGATACGGATCCCGATCCAAGTCGTGAACATTTCCTTAAGATTTACTGATTTACTAAAGAAAAGAAGAGTTTTCAAATTTGTTTTCGTTATTCTATCCGAAAACTGGATAAAACATTCAGTTAAGGAAATTTTTTTAAATTTAGTCTTTTCAACAGCTCAGATTTGGGTTTTATTTTTGTTTTCAGTTTTGGTAGATATTTTGCCCCTTGGATCCGGATCCGGATCCAGGAAGCCAAAATGTTACAGATCTGGATCCTAAGCACTAGTGTCTGTATGATATTCAATATGATTGGTTAAATACCATCCTGTATTCAGACCAATAAAGGACGGAGAGGAGAGACAGGATAACCGATGGAGTACATCCAACCTCAGGGAGGTTTATCTCCGCAGGTTCAATCTCAGGAAATCAGCTCTCGAGTTCTTCTTGTCCGATCAAACCAACTTTTTTCTCAACTTCCCAACCCTGAAGAAGCGGAGTAAGGTTTATCTCAAGATATTGAGTTTAAAACTACCAAACCTAGTTTATCACGGCACAAGGTCGCCCAAGGATCTCTTGAAGGTGTCTGGTCTCACCCAGAAATGGTCAAACCGGGAGATTTCAAACTTTGAATATCTTATGCATTTAAACACAATCGCCGGAAGGAGTTATAATGATCTCAGTCAGTATCCGGTGTTCCCCTGGATCCTGTCAGACTACGACTCTACAACCCTGGACCTTGGGTCCACGGCCACTTTCAGGGACCTCTCTAAACCTATGGGAGTACAGAACCCAGGACATGTGACCGAAATTCGGCAGAAGTATGAGAACTTTGAGGATCCTAGTGGAACCATTGCCAAGTTTCATTATGGAACCCACTACTCCAACTCTGCGATGGTTCTCCACTACATGGTGAGGATGGAACCATTCACCAGTCTTCACATCAACCTTCAGTCCGGTAGGTTTGACGTGGCTGACCGTCAGTTCCACTCCCTTCCACAGACCTGGCGTAGTCTCATCAATAACATCAACGACGTCAAGGAACTTATCCCGGAGTTCTTCTATTTCCCGGATTTCCTGCTGAACCTCAACTACTTTGACCTCGGGCGTCTTCAAGGGAAAAATCAGGCTGTCGGTGATGTTATACTTCCAGCCTGGGCGGCCAATGTGGACGATTTTATACGACAGCATCGGAACGCGCTTGAAAGCGAATATGTTTCTGCACACCTTCACGAGTGGATTGATCTCATATTTGGCTACAAACAGAAAGGTATTCTGAAACTTTAAAGCAAGCATTGGCAAGCTATGATTTCTTTTTGGGTCCTTAAAATGTCCCATCCCATAAATGAAACTGTATGATACTTATTACGTTTAGGCTCAAGTGGAATTTATTTGAAAACCTTGATATTGTTAACAATACTTTTTATTTTGTGAGCTTGTTAAATATTAATTTTTTGAAGTTTCATTAAATATTATTTTTTATCAACTTGACAACAATTGATGTTATTTACTTAAGGCGAATCATTTTTTGGGCGTTATTCTCCAAAGCAAATTTTTTTATTTTTGTGAGAAAGAAATACATTTTCCTGATGTGCAGGAGTTGAAGGAGAAGAGGCGATGAATATATTCTATTACTGCTGCTACGAGGGGGCGGTCAACCTAGACGCAATATCTGATCCTGCAGAGAGAGAAGCTCTGGAGGGAATGATTCAGAACTTTGGACAGGTAAATTCATTGTTATGTAAACAGTAAATATATAACTTTTCCTTTCCTTTTCCTTTTATTAGAATGGGGGAAATATTCCCACAATCTTTATTTTTGGAGGGTTATAAATATTTTCTCCTGAGACTCTTAACTTTGTATGATTTTGTTATATTTCATAAATAAATTATTATTTACTCAAGTGCAAATGTTGTCATGGGACTTAATTCCCCCCCNCTCATCATCCTTACCAATCCCAACCAAATACCAAGGTTTCACCAGAAATTTAAATTGTCTAACTCGAAATGCGTAGCAAAAGGGGTGGTGCTAACGGGTGGGATGGTCTGGGGCCAGGAACAACCCTAGCAATTTTGTTTAATAATAATAATATATTGATTGACAGTTTTTATTTCTATTTATTTTGGCAGGTTCCCTGTCAGTTGCTGAAGGAACCGCATCCAACCAGAATCTCTTACACTGAGCACCGCCAACGGCTACTAAAGTCCGACCATCACAGGTTTTAGATAAAATTGGTTTATTTAGTGTACATAAACATGGGAATGGAGTGAAGAATTAAAAAATCTACTGGTTTTGTGAAGAGATTAAGGAGTATGGAATATAGGGGAGAAGGAATCAACGGAATCAATTGAAATTATGAATGAATTGAAAAAATGAATGAATTGAAATAAAGAAAGAATTGAAATAATGAATGAGTTGAAATAATGACTGAATAGAAATAATGAATGAATTGAAATAATGACTGAATTGAAATAATGAATGAATTGAAATAATGAATGAGTTGAAATACCAAATAAATGGAAATAATGACTGAATTGAAATAAGGAACGAATTGATTCAAGGAACGAATGAATTATAAAAAAATGAAAAAATAAATAATTAATTGATATAAGAAATAAATGAGTTTAAACAATAGACGAATGAAATTAATGAATGAACTGATAAAATGAATGAATTAAAATTTAGAGTTTTTAAGGCCTGACCTGTTGAAGTATTCCTCCAACTGGAGGATGAATATGGTTGAGCTAGGGGATGAAAGGAATCCTTTAATATTTCTCAATCATCCACAACAGCAGGTATTTTATTCATCCTTGATTCATCCTTCATACATCCTTGATTTATTCTTCATTCATCCTTCATTCATTCTTCATTCATCCTTAATTCATTCTTCATTTATCCTTCATTCATCCTTCATTCATCCTTCAATCTTCCTTCATTCATCCTTCATTAATCCTTCAATCATCCTTCATTCATCCTTCATTCAACCTTCATTCATCCTTTATTCATTTTTCATTCATCTTTCATTCATCCTTCATTCATGGAGCTGTAGATCATCTGTTATCTGTTTCTACTGATCTATCTACCTAACATATATGTTGTAGACAAGATCATATCTGTATGGAGCTGTAGATTATCTGTTATCTGTATTCTGTATCTTCTGACCTATCTACCTATCCTTTATATTAACTAGACAAGATTATATATGTATGGAGCTATAAATTATCTGTTATATGTATCTATCTATTTATTTATGTATCTATTGTAGACAAGATCATATCTGTATGGAGCTGTAGATTATCTGTTATCTGTATCTTCTGATCTCTGTATCGGGCTCCACTCCTGGCTCCCCTATGACAAGTCGAAAATGAATGCAAACTATTTTTATCTTGACAAAGATACAACGCTGGGAACCAAGGAACCAAATTTATTTATTTCATGCATGTCGTTTTAAAATGAAAATTTTTTATTATCATTATGAACATTTTTAGTTTTTTGAATGATCTTTTTTGGTATTTGTTTTTCTTCGTTTGAATTAAGCTTTTCAAAATGGCGGGGTAATATTTGGTTTGGTAAAGATGGGAAGAAAGCTGGCTGGACCTGTCTCACGATCTCTTCGCGTAAAACCAGAGTTATTCGGTGTCACATCTGATTCCAGGTAAAAATTAGCAAGCATTTAGGAAAAGATCGGATTCATTGGATCCACATCTGTTTAGCTAACTGGATCCGGATCCGAAAAAAAATCCGGATTTACGTGGAATAATATCATCCAAAACATTGAATTTGAATTTGGAGCCATATTTCAAGAAAGCTGATCCACATAGAACTTAAATAAATAAAAATATTTAGTACTTTTTAAGAAAAGAGGTGATTTAGGTTTAAAACGTAATGTTCAGGGAGTGCTTGAAAATCTTAACTAAAAGTTAGATCTGAAAGAAAAAATTAACTTGGAAAATCTAATTAATTTTTACTTTTGTAACGGTGATTAACGGTTATAAAGGAACTTTTACTTTTGTAACGGTGATTAACGGTTATAAAGGAACTTTTAACATTTGTAACGGTGATTAACGGTTATAAAAAAGAACTTTTACATTTGTAACGGTGATTAACGGTTATCATGGAACTTTTACTTTTGTAACCTTGATTAACGGTTATAAAAAGGAAATTTTCATTTGTAACGGTGATTAACGTTTATAAAGGAACAGGTGCACTTTCAAGTGACCATCCCTGCATTAAGATCACAATGGCAATGCCCTTTTAACAACGGTACTCTTAAAGGTTTTGTCTGATCTATCTAGAATGCATTACATATCAATGTTTATTAATTTAAAAATAATTATTTTCAATTGTGGCTTTTCTACAAAAGTGACTTGCGCATTTCTACTGCAGGAAAGCATATGGGAATTATCAGAATGTAACCCTTTTAACCCTATGAAATGACAATAACTTCCACATCAATGATCAGATAAAGGTTTCAAGGACACCGTTCTGAATCGGACATTGTCTTCTCTGCATGGAGGGTCACTTAAAATTACGCTTACAGTCCCTTTAGACGATTTTCTATCCCTATATTCAATAATATATTGTATAATTAAGGTTCCTTGTGTACGGAGGGAGCTGGGATAATAGCGTACGAGTTTACAGTCTTGCACGGAGTAAAGAAGTTGGAGCATCAATCAGGTAAAAAACAGGGAGTAGGTAGAAACATAGGTGGTTTTTCTGTATCCAGTACTCCGTATCTTGTATCCTGTAGACTGTATATTGTATTGTGTACACTGTATATTGTATTCTGTAGACTTATTGTATTCCCTAGACTGTATCTTGTATTCTGTAGACTGTATCTTGTATTTTGTAGACTGTACCTTGTATTGTCTGGACTGTATTTTGTAATCTGTAGATTGTATCTTGTAATCTGTAGACTGTATCTTGTATTTTGTAGACTGTAACTTGTATTCTGTAGACTGTATTTTGGTATTTTTTAGACTGTATTTTATAATCTGGAGACTTTATCTTCTGTATTCCGTAGACTGTATTTTGTACTCTGTAGACTGTATCTTGTATTAGACTGTATCGTGTAATCTGTATACTGTATCTTGCAATCTGTAGACTGTAACTTGTATTCTGTAGACTGTATTTTGATATTTTTTAGACTGTATTGTATAATCTGGAGACTGTATCTTGTATTCCGTAGACTGTATTTTGTACTCTGTAGACTGTATCTAGTATTAGACTGTATCTCGTAATCTGTATACTGTATCTTGTAATCTGTAGACTGTATTTTGTATTCTGCAGACTGCTGTATCTTGAATTCTGTAGACTATATCTTGTATTCTATTAGCTGTATGATGCATTTTATAGACTGTATCTTGTATTCTATTGACTGTATCTTGTATTCTATAGACTGTATATTGAATTCTGTAGACCATGTCTTGTATTCTACAGACTGTAACTAGTATTCTGCAGACTGTATCTTGTATTTTATAGACTGTATCTTGTAATCTGTTGTATTCTGGTGACTGTATTATGTATCCTGTATACTTTATATTGTATTTTATATCCTGTATCCTATATACTTTATATTGTATCCTGTATCCTATATGTTTTAAGACACACGGACCTAGTAACCTGTATTGGGATGGATGAAGGTGGGAACCATTGTATTTCGGGTAGCCAGGATACAACTGCTATTATCTGGGAGCTCAACCCTACTCAGGATACCTGTACACCTAGAAGTATCCAGGTATGGTTTTTATTTATTTTTTAACAAATTTTTAAACAACCAGGAGGGAATTATCAGACATTTTTGAGTGACGAGATAAAGTTTTCACAAATAAAGGTTCTAAAAACATTACATTAAACCTCTTACTATGAAGGTATTGTACGGGCATGATGAATCTGTCAGCTGTGTCTGTATATCTATCTGTCTGGACCTGGCTCTTACTGGGAGTAAGGATGGAACTGTGAACGTTCATTCAATCAAGGTAATTGTCTAGATTAGTTGCAAGCTGAGTAAGGTCAGATCATAGATTCAGATTTTAGAAACGAACCTGGGAGTAAGTTTGAATCAAGTTACCTAGGTAACAAATAAGTAGTAGTAAGTAAGGTTTTATCAAGTGGAGGTAGGTGTTGAATCAAGTGTTAAGCTTACTTCAATCCAGAGGACCCTTGGACCATCCAGGTCAATGTCTGGACCCAGATAGTTGGGCTACCGTAATGGATAGAGCCCGATCCCTTCAGTTTCTGTTAGATGACTGGTTCAACCAGGTCTCAAGTGTTTAAAGAGGTAGGTGAGGGAAATGTCAAGGTAAGGGGGTACCTCATTATAGGCTGTGGTAGGGTATACCTCTGGACTCTGATTCAGCCTGCCTCCTGGTGGTTCCTTGTCTTCGGATGGCCGGGGGGGGGGGGGGGGGGGGGGGGGGGGGGGGGGCGGATGTTTGAGTGCGCTCACCCGATGGCAGTCTGGGTTCTCCAACCTGGGGGGCTTTCAAATCTCTTTCCTGATATTTCTGATATTCCTGATGTGTTTGTGTAGAGAAATCATATTTTTTAGGATGGACAATACATGAGAACTTTTAACCCTGCAGGAGTAGACGTACAGTACACCGTAGACCTTCTACATTTATCCTATCAGGGACACGTGATATATACAGGTACAGTTCAGTACAGTACAGTGCAGTTCAGTACAGTACAGTATAGTACAGAACAGTACAGTACAGTACAGTAAAGTACAGTACAGTACAGTACAGTAAAGTAAAGTACAGTACAGTACAGTACAGTACAGTACAGTACAGTACAGTACAGTCAGTATAGTATTTTATAGCACACTTTGCAAAAATTAAACATGTGTCCCAATGTTATGTTGTGACGACTTCGAGATCATCTTTGTTAAGAATTATTGGGACATTCTGTACCAGGAAAAAGTGTTTTGTACAGGTGCAGTGCAGAACACTGTCCCTGGCCTGTACATATTCCACAAAGTACGGTCGAGAGGATTCTTAAATTAACAATAAAAATTTCATAAATTATTTTGTTTCTTGTATCGTTATTTTTCTTATGTACTGTAGGGCACACTTCTGAAACTCATTCTGTACACGTGTACACACTCAACGGAAGACATTTAGCGTCAGCTGATATACAACACAGGGTTACAGGTAATTTTATTAATAAAGAATTTAAAAACGACATTTTTACTGCATTTTTTAAATGTTAATAAAGAAACACAAAAGGGGGGGGGCTAGGGCTTAAGCTCCTTGATAAGTAAAAACCTCGAAGTTCTTTACATTATCCTACTTGAATGTGGAAAAGTGAACCCCTCCCCCTTCTTTATCCACAAATTCCTTTATATTATATACTTTTCTAGGATTAGTGAGTTCTGGAGATTATATACTTACTGGAGATGAGAATGGAGATTTAAATCTTCTAGATCTTTTTAATCTCCAGGTAGTGTAATTAATCTCCAGGTAGTGTTGTTAATCTCCAGGTAGTGTTGTTAATCTCCAGGTAATGTTGTTAATCTCCAGGTAGTGTTGTTAATCTACAGGTAGTGTTGTTAATCTCCAGGTAATGTTGTTAATCTCCAGGTAATGTTATCAATCTCCAGGTAGTGTTGTTAATCTCCAGGTAATGTTGTTAATCTCCAGGTAGTGTTGTTAATCTCCAGGTAGTGTTGTTAATCTCCAGGTAGTGTTGTTAATCTCCAGGTAGTGTTGTTAAGCTTTAGGTAGTGTTGTTAATCTCCAGGTAATGTTGTTAATCTCCAGGTAGTGTTGTAAATCTCCAGGTAGTGTTGTTAATCTCCAGGTAGTGTTAATCTCCAGGCAGTGTTGTTAATCGTTATGGTTCGTCTTTTTAAAAAAAAAGTAATAAAATCTTTAAAAAGGTTAAAAATTTCAAAATTCTATATTGTTTTTTCAAAATTTGATTTTTATAAAAATTCCACCTGCAACGAGGGGCACTTCAGCTAACTAGTTCATATTCCTAAGTTTATTTTACATTATTCTAGGTATTGAAGAGTCTAAATCTACAGTTGCCAGTGCAGACCTTGACTCTAACCAGGGGGAACACACACATCCTTGCTCCTCTTAGGGACGGCAAGCTTATTGTTGTTGGACTGGCTGGACTACCAGAGAACTACGCTTAGACTACAACTGGACTAACAGGACTTCCAATGAACTACGCTTAGACTTAAAAAAGAGTTGCAGGACTATCAGACTACCACAGAACTTTAAGAACAGAATACATAAAAAAGACTTGACGCATTGTATAATCAACTGTAGATGTTTCAATTCATGTATATTTTGGTTTATTAAACGTCGCCAGTTATCGATTTACTGATATAATAAGCTTTAATCAAGATGCTGATTTTTGCTGGTTTACTAAGTTTTCGTCTGACCCACGACGCTTTTATAAACCTAAAAACATGTTCAACCTTGTTTTAAAACAATGTATGACCCTGTTATGGATAAGAACAGGTTGACGAACCAACCCCCCTGAATTTTCCAACTTTTGTGGGCATTGTTTAAAGTTGAGATTTTAAATATTTGTAATTCATAATTGTTAAAGTATTATTTAGTCACGTCACATTCCTTTTTTAAAACCCTGATTTCTATAACCTATGATGTGGTGCCCCCCCCCCTTCTGCATTAACTACCACTATCATAATTAACTAGTCACTGTGTATTTTCATGTTAAAGAAGGTCAATGTGTACTGTGTTAACTGATAATTGTAAAACTATGAAATAGGAAGACAACTTTTAGAATCAAGTTATTACTTTAAAAAGTCCAATGAGCCTGAGACACAACCACTGTGCAGTGTAACCAGACCTATTTCACTTAATTGGTATCTAGTAAAACTATTTGCTTTGCTGATTGCTTGTTTGTTTGTAACAGCATCAAGAACATATAAGTATTGTTATTATGTCGTCTTCCTATTCTACAGTTTTCTGGTTATACATAATACACTGTAGTGTGAAACCAACTATTGTAACCATTAATATCTCCACTCAGCAATCCACATTATTTGTCAAAATTTAAAATGTGTAATTTGCTCTTAAACTGATTTGATATAAATTGATCGTCAATTTATGTCCACGTTTAATGAAAAAGTGGACCTCATAAAACTGTGGAATAACGCAAGTTGTTAGGATTTTAAATAGTCAAATAAACAGGAACACACTCCATAGATTCTATTTAAGCATGGGTAAAATTATTTGTTTTATAACAACGTTAATAAATGATAAAACAAGCTTGATTAAATGTCGTCTGCGTATTCCACGGTTTTATTGGTCCCAAATAATGTCCTTGTTATGTTCAATGGCTATAGCATTATACCAAATATGCACATTCACTACGTTCATGATCATGTTGTCCCATTGTAACAATGTAGATAGTTTTTAAATATTTCTAGTCAATTGTTGATTTTGCTCCCTAAGAACACCCCTCTCTCAAATTTGTGGTAATGCCTGTATCTGCAGCTTATTGTGTAATTTCATGACTTCATCTCATAAATTAAGATTAATAGTATCTAAAAATAAATCCTAATCGTCAAAGATTTCCGGTGATTCTTTTTAAAATTAAGTTTTGATGCGTTCTACGTTAATAATGCTTAAACATTAGTTTATTTGAAAATTTCATTATTTTCATAATAGAATGTCGTTTTAAAATTAACGTTAATAATATGTGTGTTTTTATCCATGTTTTTTTTGAGATTATATTCTCCCCGGTTTCTTTAAAATGACAACTCAGATACAGGGTGTCCCAACAAACATGGGAATTCAGGGACGAATTCGATATCGTCTTTTAAAATAATTCTTTGATTTAGTATAGTGATTGATACCTGCTGAGAAAGCTGTAATCTGTAAGAGTTTTGTCTGCTATGTTCACATTTTGTTTGTTAATGTTTTGACTGCATAAGGGTGTACTTAGTAAAACAAGAAAATTGCAGTACACAAAGTAAACTTGTCCGTCTTTACTGTTCATCTTGTGGAGACATTATAGACACATCTTTACAGTCTTTTACCCTTTTCATAAAATAAACTCTAGCAGACATAATATTAAAGACGATATCGAATTCGTCACTGAATTCCCATGTTTTTTGGGACACCCTGTAGTAAAGTCTTTCCATAAGTCATCTATATTATTATATAAATTCTAAGATTTTTATTAAAGGTTGTCGTTTTAAAATTGATTTAATAGTATTTATTTTATCCAATGTTTTAAAAAAAATAAAATTTGAGATTATATTCTCCCCGGCTGTTCAGTCTTCCATACGTCATATATATTATTATACATTTATATATTGGAAGCTTGCATGATGTCTCCGTAAATTCTAAGATTTGCATTAAAAGTTGTGCTTTAAAAACTAACGTTAATGGTAAGAATTTCATCTAAAGTTTTTTTAAAAATAAAATTTGAGATTTTATTCTCCCCGGTTTCTTTAAAATGACAACTCAGATAGTTCAGTCTTCCATACGTCATATATATTTTTATACATTTATATATTGGAAGCTTGCATGATGTCTCCGTAAATTTCGGAGATTTACAGTAAAAAGAACAAAAAAACAATTTCTATTCCTCCATTTAGATTGTTAGTTTCATAACAGAAACCTTTAAACATTTGTCTAAACAAAAATGAATGTGATAACCTTCCTTTCCTCTGGGAAAATTGATTTTTTTTCAATAAGGAATGTATGGTACACTTTTACCGATCAGAAATATTTGTTTTCACAAATTGAAATGGAAAAGTATTTCCCTTCAAAAGTTCACCTCTTTAGAGATTGTATAAGCGTAATTTCAAATGACTCTGGAAATGCCCGATTTACAACAGTACCCTTGAAACCTTTATTTTTTCAGTAATGTGGAAGATATATTCGTTTTTCTAGGTTAAGTTTATTTCTGATAATTTCTATATGTTTCCCTGCAGTAGAAACTATAAATGTGCGAGTCACTAAATTGTTAAGAAACTGCAGCAATTGAAAATAATCTGTTTTTTAAATTATAAACATTGATATATATATATTCATGGGACACTGCTTCAAAGGGTACCGTTGTGAATTGCGCAGTTCCACCTCTGCGTGTATTATCACTTGAAATTATGTTTACAGTTCTGATAAGCTTGACTTACTTCAAGTTAAAATTTAACAAAAAAGGTATCTATTTTATATTATAATTATTAATCAGAATTTATATCATTCTGGGTAGTTTAGAATAGGACTGTGTATATATATAAATATTTATATATGTAATTATCATTGTTATTATTATTATTATTATCATTATAATATCTCTTAATACTTTCTCAAAATATATTATCTAAACCTTGAAGTTTACTCTAAGTATAAATCATATAAATGACATATAAACTATAACGAGGATGTATTATGGTTTAGTTCTCTAAGAGAGCACAAGTAAGTCGATCAGGCTTTTATTCAAGAATATTGAAATTATTCAACATTGAAATCTTGTACATTAGACAAATATTTCATTTACAAATGGAGTAACGTCTGCAAAGCATGTAAAATCATATGGTGGGGCGGGCCGTGTCAGTTGTATCATCCTTGTATTACATCCTCCTCGAACCTGACATAACCTTTCAAAATTGGTCGTAATAAAAACTTCTTTTCTGTAGGAAAGACTGCATTTTTAACAGATCGGAAATAGCTAATGTAGATTGGAAGCAATTCTAGCTCATAAAAATTACTTTTTTTCACCAGATAGTAATAATGATGGAGTTATCATTGTTTTTACAATCATTTTTTAATTGTGGTTCTTTGAAAAAGTAACTTTCGGATTTCTACTTATTTAGTATACTTCAAATGAAGTTGTCCGAAATGAACGCTTTCCAAGCTATACAACCATGAAAGCGAGATCTTCTACGGTATTCATCATCTGATTAAGATTTATTGGTTACCATTGTTAATTAAACATTTCCCATTTTCAAATGGAATGTAACTTGAAATTAACCGTAAAGTCTCTTTTAACGAAAAGTTGCTTGAAAGTGCAACTATACAGTCCCTTTAAATGAAAGGTTGCTTGAAATTACACGTACAGTCCCTTTAAACCTTAATATTTTCAGAATGGGTGATACCCCTGCAGAGAGAATACAGCGAGTTAGATCAGCCACAACCTCTTCTTGGTTTAAGGTAGGGATTGAATGTCGTATTTTTAGAAAGGGCTTCACGAAAAACCAAAGTTAACGGTGCGCAAGATTTTTCATGTTTTCAGTTAAAATTTATTTTCTTGGCGAGCTTCATATAATGAAGAGAAGAGAAAAAATAATTTGAATTTTTATATGAAACCGGAAAAATTTGTGTTTTACTCATACATGTGCCGAAAATAAAAGCTAAAGAAGCTACGAGGTCACAAGGTCGTATCTAGCTGGGATGTCTCATAAATTCTCCTTCCGTCTAGTTTGCAGTGTCTGAATGTTGTCGTTTCTGTTCATGTACAGGATGTCCCAATAAACAAGGGAATAGAGAGACGACATGAATATCGTCTTTGATTTCCGATAATTGATAAATAACATCAAATGCATTAAAACAAGATTTAAAGTTTGAGGAGCTTTCCAAACTGTGGTCTACCTTCTTTGTATCTTTAAAAATGACGGAGATATTAAACAGCTGAACAGTTTTGTTGATTTTTAAAAAACTGGAATCTGGACAAATTTCCTAATATCTCCGTCAATTTGGAAGGTAAAATAATGGTAGACCACATTTTGGAAATCCCGAGACTAGTTGTTTTCGGTGTTACATGTTTTAACTGTAATATTAAAAAATTATGGTTACGAAATAATCCTTCATGGAACAAAGACGATATAGAAGTCGTCATTTAATCCCATGTTAATTTATTGGGACACCCTCGTTAGAATTTAGTACCTTGAAGGCGGATGGGTTAATCAATCCGAAAAGTCTCTTTAAGGCGGATGGATTAATAAATCCGAAAAGTCTCTTTAAGGCGGATGGATTAATCAATCCGAAAAATCTCTTTAAGGCGGATGAATTTAAAATCACTCAATCAAAAAGGCGGATGGATTAATAAAATATCTTTATGGCAGATGTATTAATAATCTAAAGATCCCTTTTATAAGGTGGATAGATAAATAAAAGAACAGCATTAATAAACGAAATATGCCATTTTGGCATTACAGGCGGATGTCGAATAATCAATAAGGCAGATAGATTAATAAGCAAAATATCCCTTTAATGCGGACAGATTAATAAGTAAATAATCAATAATCAATCTATCTTTTATGCATAAATACTTTTATGAAAACCTTCCAGCTTCCTCCCAGGATATGTTTAATTCTCTAGCTGAACCAAATAGAACAAAATCATATAAACTTGAGCGAGTTCTCTTTAAAACCCTAGAAAGTTTTCCCTCTGCCTTATTTCCAAAAATATGGAATTCTATTGAATTAGAGCTTAAAGAAACTAAATCTGCAAAATCGTTCAAAAGAAAAGTCGCCAAGATCTATTTAGATAGTTATACAAATTATATCTGTAAAAAAAAAACTGTGTATCATGTGGATAAACTTAGTCTTTACTATCTTCTTCACCCTGTAGTTCATAAACATGATTCTAATAACTTATGTTACCCTCTGTTCCAACCCTTACGCTGAGTATCCTCCCTTTTCTTTATACTCCCTCACCTCCTCCTTACCTTTTACCTGATTTATTATCATTCTTATGTTTAAAATGTACAATGTACATTGTTTTTATCTGCAATTCTCATTCGTTTATAGTGGGCCAACCAATTAAAACAACCTACTCTGGTTAGGCGGGTCCAAACTACATAGTAAATTGTGATTTTTTATTTGTATTATCTCGTGCTTTGTAGTTGAATAAAAATATGAAATATGAGGTTGATTAAATGAAAAACGAACAATCCATTTAAAGTAGATTGAGTTATAAACTAACAATAAATTAAAGGCGGCTGAATTAACCAACAAAGAATGTCTTTAATGCAGATAAACGGAAAATCCCTGTAAGCGGATGGATTTATAAACGAACAATCCATTTAAGGCGAATGTATTTTTAAACGAACAAACCCTTTAAGTCGGATGGATAAATAAACATACAATCTTTTTAAGGTGGATGGATAAATAAACATACAATCTCTTTAAGGCGGACGGATTATTAAACGAACAATCCATTTAAGGCGGATGGATTAATAAATGAACAATCAATTGAAGGCGGATGGATTAATAAGCAAATAATCCCTTTAAGGCGGATGGATTCATAAACAAAAAATTCCTTTAAGGCGAATGGTGAGCTGGCTAGTGTAGTGGAGAGAACTGGAAATGAATCAATGTCAAGGTGAGCAAATAAGAAAAAAGTATAACTATGACGCCTAATTGGTTTATTTGGAATTTGTGCTTCTAAATCCCGATATGGGAGTTAGTGCGACTATACTTCAACTTTGCAAAAACTTTTATCATGTGATACTTTATTTTATTATGCGTTAGCTTCTTTGCTCGAGGTTGCCCGTAAATTTCAAAAATCCTTCAAATTGTTTATCTGAGGAATGTGCCAGCGATCCTGTGTTTCCCCAGAGG